ACCGAGCAGCACAAGGCAAACTGCCGGCGCCCATGTCCCATCAGCTCCTCCTCCGGCACAATGATATTGAACACCAAGTGACGGTGCCAGCACGGGGGGACCTTGAAAAAGTAAAAAGTTGAGGACATATCACTTTGAAACATCTCCAGGGTCTGTCCCTGTTCTAGGACTAGGCTCTGCCATGAAGTGATGGCTGGCAAGTTTGAGGCCCCACCTTCAAGCTGGTGTTGGGTTGCATTACTTCCCGTGAGGTTCATGATCAACCGCAGCACAGGTTCACCAGATTTTAACAAAGTTGGTTTCTTGACACCAAAAAGTCCGTTGAGGATTTGTTGAGATCCAACCTTGTAAACAGTATCCAGCGGGACCCATGTACAAATGTTTCGCCTAACCAACTCATGCGCAATGACCGTCTTGTCCTCAGCCTTGACATGAATTTTCCCTGGGAGCCTAGGTAGTTTCACGTCTGCTTGACATTTCAAGAGGAGGTCAGGGTTTAACAAAAACTCACGAGTCCTAGGGCAAACCCAATGTAAAGTTTCGATGGAGCCGCCATGCTCTTCAGGTGGGAGACTGGGCATTACCTGTTCCACAGTGAGTTGTTGGCATGTTGAAATCTCCTCCCCATTATAACCCATCAAACGTCCATTGAGCTCTTTTTGCCAATCCGCTTCGCTGTAAGGCTCCTGCTCCGCGTCTTTTGCGCAGCGCCTTTCGATGGCAGCTCTCATACTCTTCACCGCGGCCAGCTTGGACAACGTCCAGCGCCCTGCATAGGGTGTCCCCTTATAACCGGCCAGCTTGTTCAGGGCAGACACCACATTGTACAACCAAGCGCAAGCACTCCATTCTTCCACCACTTCGGGTGTACTCACATGCTCCAAGCTGAATTCTTTGAAACGAGATACCAAGGTGACCAGCTCACCTTCTCTGAAAGGAAAAACTGAGTTCCGCCCGCGGGCAGCGCTCAGGTTTGCAGCGGCTAAAACACCCTTCCAAGCCTTCATCCACTGCGGACTTTGGAAAAACATATCACCAGCAACAGCGCTATGTATCAAACACCAAGCCAAGATGCATCCCAACCGACGGTAAGAAGAGCAGCTCGGTATTGAGGACTTGAAATACCTGCTACCAGCGCTGTCAAAAACTGACGAATCCTCAAGCTCCTTGCAGGCTTGCCTAGCCTTCATATTCAGAGGAGCTGCTTCCTCTACTTTTCGCCTGGCTTTTCCTTTTTCTTGCTGGGGTCCGGCTCGTGAGATTCGGACTGTTGACCCCACCAACCTCGGCCCTTGCCTTTTCCTCGTCCACCCTTTTTGGACTTTCCTTTTGTCTCTTGGGGCCATTCGGACCAGCCGGATCCCTTTCCCCGGCCGCCACGGCCTTTGCCGGCGCCAGGGGAATACCATTGCTCTGGCTGCGACACCTTCAGGGCCAGTTTGGCCTGCTTCCGGGCTTGCAGCACCAGTTATGGGCCCGCAGCCGAGGTCTCTTCCAGCGGCAGCAATTCCAATTGCCGCGCTGCTGTCCAATTCCCGTCCAACAGGGATTGGTGGAGACTGATGAAGCGCGCCGCCAACAGGTCCCCCACATGGTCCAGAGCCCCTTCTCTCAGGGCGTCCATGCACGAGCTCAGGTGGTGCATCTCTCGCACCTGGGCATTTATGCTGCCGTGTAGTCCTTGCCTGACTCCTTCCCGATCACCACTTTCGAGCTCTGATCCAGCTGTGCTCTGGCATGTTCCACCAACAATTGGAGGACGCTGCCCGGGCGCTCCCTCGCTTTCTTCCGCAAGGGTGGCTCCATCCTCAAATCCTCTGAGCTGCTCGACGACGCCTCCAAAGCTTCGTTGGAGCTGAGATCGGAGCAGCTCGTCTGGCCACTGCCATTCGAGGAGCTCGGGCTGGAGTCCGGCCCTCCAGGATCCTTCTTCCTCCTTCTCTTCCGACCTTCTGAGTTCCCCTCCTGGTAGGGGTCTGACCTCTGGCTCCTCTTGCCCTTCTTCTTCTTTTTCTTCTTCTTTCCTCCACCAGCGGCTTGTTGTAGCCACTTCACCAACACAGTGCTGGGGTCCTTCCTTCTGGCTTTTTCTTTTTCTCCTCGGATGCGCCCAGCTTTCTCCTGAGCTGCTTTGGCTGCCTGATTCAGAAGCTGAGCCTGCAAGCTTCCTGTAGAAGTATCTTTTATAGCCAGAGCAAGTGGTTTTTCTGCTGCCCTGGCCTTTTTCTTCTTCTTTCTCCTTTCTCTTTCCTTCTCCTCTTCGTCTTCGATCTCCAGGGGTTCCACAGTCTCGTGGACGCTGCGGCGAGGAGGTGCCCTCAGCGCGCCCTGTCGACGTTTGTGCAAGGCCTCCCTCTCTTCCACTGGAGAGGGTGAATAACCGGGCGACCCAGGTTCCTCTGATTTCTCGGGGGGGCAGCTCGGCACCTGCTCCAGCGCCCACCCCAGCAGAACGACTCATGCGAGCCTTTGCATCGTCTAACCTCTTCCTCAGCTCCTCTCTCTTGCTTTCTGAGATCCTTTCTTCCAACCGACCTGGAGGAGCGGGGGGATGTGCCTTTGCCGTGGACTTCAAGGCCTCGACATGTTCCCACATGTCTCCATCGGGCATGGGCACTGTGATGTCCAAACCTTTTGAAGGGCGCGTCAACTCGTCCTCCAACTGGTCCAACCATTTCTTCATCTGCTTCTTCACCGCCGACGTCATGTAGTCCCTGGCAAACCCCTCGGGTGAGAACAGACGGAGACGAGTGACATGAAGTGAAAACTCCCCTTCTACCTCACATGGGTAATTGTGGCAAAGGTGGAGGCAACCTGCTCGTCTGTTGAAATTGGTTGACAACCACCTGGTGGATTCCGGATCGTCGCAACCAAGACTTTTGGCGTAGAAAATCATGTCTCCCTCCAGGCCAAGTTCGACCTTTATCACCAGGAAACCACCCCATAGGTCGGGTGGGAAGTCTTCTCCGGTTTCGGACAGCAGAACCTCGACCACCTGGCCTTGCAGCACTGTAAGCTCTTCCCAGGCAGCGTGGTCCTCGTGAGAGAACTCCGCGCCCTCGGGGTGACTCACTTTTCTCATCTCCTTTCACGCCTCTCAGCAGGGCCGTGGCCCAGCGAGTGATGCTCGTCCCAATAACTGGCGGGACGCTTCCGGTGAAGGGGCTGATCCGGGTTGTCTTGTGCCCTGTACAGCCTCTGATGGTTTCGTCCAGCTCTGTTTCCTCTGCGTGTGCGATCTTTGTCCTTCTTTTTCTTCTTCTTCTTTTTGTCATCTTCACGATGACTCTCCCTTTCACGTAAGGGCTCCCTTGGAGGTGGGCCCACAGGACTCCTCGGCCGTGCCGGAGAGTGTCTGTCCTCCTCGGCTTTCTCAGGTTTTCCTTGTTCACGTTCGGGTCGGCTCGCCTTGCTCTTGGCAGCCGTTGCCGCTGCTGGCACCCGCTCGCCCTCCTCCTCATCAATGGGACTATCGTATCCACTGCTTGACTCCTGCTGCTCCTTCTTGATAGGAGGAGGAGGGGGCGGCGGAGGTGGTGCCTGCTTGGACACCGAGTGAGCTTGTCTCTCACTCCTGTCACGCTCAGCAGCTCGAGAGGCCTCAGCGCTTTTGAGGCTGCTAGAAAAGTTTCTCAGCGCTCTCACCGACCGAACAAGATGCTCCACCTGTTCGGTGACCAGGTGGCGCAGCGCGCGCGAGTGCCAAGGTGCAGCTAGCTCGGAAGCTAGCGCCTCCCAGGCACTGCAAGCAGCGCACCACGTGTCACCAGTCTCAGGTGGAGCCTGGTGACACTTAGCGCAGCTCATACCCTAAGAACTTGAGCCTTTAGAAGTGGCAAGGCGGCTATCAAGCTCCCCTCATTGCCATAAATTATTCGAAGAACTATCTAGGATAAAATTTAATTTATAAAAATATCAAAGAATTATAAATTATATATATAATTTAAAAAAATACAATATATTATACAAAACAAATATTAATAATAAATATAATTATAAATTATTTTTTTAAAATTTATTTATTTTTTTTTTAATAATTTTAATTATAAATTAATATGAATTTTATGGAAAATTAATTAATGTATATATATTTTCGGATAATTTATTGGTTCTATAATTAAATAAAAATATTTAAAAAAATATATTGTTTAAATTTCATTTCAATATTTTAAAAATAAATTATTGAGAAATATATATATATAGAAAATTTATGTACAATTCATATTTCAATATATATATATATTTTATATTTCAAGATTTTAAAAATAAATTATTAAATATAAAAAAATAATAATAATAACAATAATAATAATAAATATTTTGAATATAATTTATGTATAGAAATTGTTATTTTAAAAATATTGAAATATAAATTTATAATTCAATATTTTATATAAATATGGTTTTTTAATATTTTTTTAATAAGGTATAATCGTTAATATTTTTTTGTAATTTATTATATAAAAAAATTATTTATTAAAAATTTATATATATAATTTTAATTATAAATTAATAAAAATTTTATGGAAATTTGTTTATTTTATGTATTTTTTTCGGATAATTAGTTAATTTTATATGATAATAAATATATTTCAAAAAAGTTTTTTTTTATATTTTATTTCAATATTTTGGAAATAAATTATTTAAAAAAATAATTATTATTATTATCATTATTATGGAATTATTTTATGGAATTTTTATATTTCATGTCTCTATGTTTCTATGTGTCTATGTATATATGTACGTATGTATGTACGTATCTGTCTATCTGTCTATCTGTCTATTTGTCTATCTGTCTATCTGTCTATCTGTCTATCTGTCTATCTGTCTATTTGTCTATCTGTCTATCTGTCTCTATCTGTCTATCTGTCTATCTGTCTATCTCTGTCTATCTGTCTGTCTATCTGTCTATCTATATCTATCTGTCTATCTGTCTATCTATTTATCTGTCTATCTGTCTGTCTATGCATCTATCTTTATGTCTATGTATCTGTCTATCTGTCTTTGTATCTGTCTATCTGTCTATGTATCTATGTATCGATGTATCTATGTATCTATGTATGTATGTATCTATCTATCTGTTTATCTATCTGTCTATCTATGTATCTATGCATCTATGTATGTATGTATGTATGCATGCATGCATATATGTATAGACGCCTGTATGTATGCCTGTATGTATGCCTGTATGTGTGCGTGTATGCATATGTATTTTTAGATATACATACATATAATATATATATATATACATATATGTGTGTGTGTGTTGTGTGTGAGTGTCAATACAATGATTGCATATATTCGAATTTAATATAAATCCAGCTCTTTGTTTTTCAAACGATTAAAATAAATCTCAAATATGAGATCATCAGGCCCAGGGATCCCAGCACAGCCAGGGCTGAAAGTGATCTCCTGCAGGTCTCACTGGAAGTGGCATGGTTCCATGACCTTTCACGAAACCGTTGTCCGCAAGCACCGCATTTGGAGAAAAACTTAAACAATGAGGTGTCATTAATCAAGAATAGCACTAATTATGTATAATCATATATAGCAAAAACATGATAAAAGGATATAGTAACTATTATCTCAAGGCACCTGGCTGCAATGTACAACTCTGAGACGTCGAGACGCAACACAGCTCCACCTCCGCGCTCTCCCGACAAAACAGCCAAAAAAGGCGCGAAAATACATTGGGTTTGTCTAAAAATTGGAGATGCCCCGAAAATGGCATTTTTATGCTATTTGAACTGGAGAAATCAGGTTCTAAACCGCTGGAGTTCGGGGTAGTGGTTATTTTTCCCAATTTTTAGAGCCACACATTTCTCAATCATATGTTCAATGACATGGTTGCTTGAATTGACTCACCAAACCTTTTTGAGCTTTGTCAGGATGCTTCTTTCGTCGGTGCTGCAGCAGCTTGTTCTGTCTTCTTCGCTCCTGATCACCTTGCAACTGCAGTCTCCAAAACATGTCAAAATCAAGTCTACAAACCAAAGGTGAAACCATGTGAAACCTATCGTTCCAGCACTATTGTTCAAAAGAGATCGAAAATGAATCCAACAAATGAATTTGATTGCACATGACTCCCAAAATTGACCGTTAGGAACCTCAGTTTTATTCTGTTTCCCGAGTCAAGTTGTTATTTTATGTTATTTTTGGGCAGAGACTATCCTTTTCCAGACACCAACCCTGGGATCTTCACCTTGGATCACAAGCTTCTCCTTCGTACTGGAGCCATCTACGCTCATGGTGGCCAACTCCGCTTGCGCTTCCTGAAGCACCTTTTGCCTTAGCCAAGCACGGGACAAAGGGCAGGGATTCTGCAGGGATCCTGCAGGGATTCTCCACATGTCTGACAGAAAACTTTTCACCACTTGGAAATGGCAAAAGAAAAAGCTGAAAGCTGGAAAGTCAGCCATAAAGCTTGATCATCTTGTTCCAATCAAAAAAAGCTGCTGCACCATACACAAGCCACAAGGCGTTGCATTACTGCTGGCCCAACTGCAGATCCTCCGGTACTTCATCGACACTCTCCAGCCACGACAGCAGCAAAGTGGGCGAGTAACGGCCAGGGTCTCGGAAGCCTTGGTTCCTGTCGCAAAAACCTCACTTTGCATCAACAAACTTGGGGCCGGTGATACAAGCTTTCGCGTAAATCGTTGATACAGTTTTATGCACACACACACATATGTATATATATATATGTATATAATCAATAATATATATATATATAATTATGTACATAATTATATATATATGCATATTATATATATATGTGTGTGTGTGTGTACACACACCTAATAAATCCGAAGCATGGGATGGTAAGGAAATGTTAAAAGCTGAAACCACCACCGATTGGATCTGCGAAGTCCTTGCTGTCAAACAGTACAGGGAAGGCAAATCACTACTTATCAGGTCAATCAGCCGAGAATCACTGATAAGTGATACTATATGATATTAGATAGCCGAGCCAAGCAGCTCTCCCATGAGTTCCTTAAGCACCGTTTCTTCTGGAGAAGCTTCACCTTTCCAACCTCGCACCAGCTGTGGGTCATGGGGATTGGAATATCTTGGGGCAGCTGGTGAGTTGTCCTGCCAGGTGACCAGCCGCCGTCGCAGTTCTTCCACCATTCTGTCCGTGGGGTCCACTTCTTGCCCACGACAGGCGCTCGCGCAGTGACGGCAAAGCCACTCTCCTGACGTTCACAACTCCGAAAATGGGCGGCAAACAGGAAAACCCGTATTTGGCATGTTTGCAAGGTAGAAAGCATCTTTTCTAAGAATTTATCAAGATACAGTGATTCTGTTCTGTCTCTACACCATCTTTTTAGTCGAGCCTGTAAAGAACAGACTAATTGAGGGGAACGGGAAGTTGTGGCGAGTGGGTCCTTTCACTTCGACGCAGTTGCGGCCACCTTGCCATCCGTTATGTCCTCAGCTACCCAAACTCAGAACAAGGAAAGATCCGCCCGAAGCCCCGGAAGTCCAGGTGAAATGAGATACCAAGCATCTGCACTGCATGCAGCACCTCCACTCCTTCCAGCAAATGGCCAAATTCCATCTAATTCCATTAAACCATATTAGTAAATTAGACTATATTAAACCACATTGAAGCATATCAAACCATATTAAGCCATATTAAACAACTCATCATTCAAGTCCCTAGTAGCTCAAGGCAAGGCCTCCCAAAAAAATGCCTTCATCGCTGCCCAGCCTTTGGTGGATGCTGAAACTCATCTGGCCATGGTTTCATCCAGGGGCTGGAGGCGACTCTCTCCCCTGATAGGCAAGGAAAGGGCGTGCTGGTGATTATCTCCCATTGTATACCCTCCTTGATATCATCAGCACTAGGGCTATACAGAAGTTACAATATATCCCAGGCTGATACCCCCTCCAACAATAGGGTTCGTAAATGTTCGCTGCTTATGAAATCCTATTGTTAGGGGGCACGTGCACAGACCTGCCTGGAAAAGACTGCGGCACGTGCAAATCTTTGGCACATGGCGCTGAAGTTGCCGAGTGGCCTAGAACTCAGTTTGCATGGACAAACATAGCTAGCTAAGTGGCTAGCTATAGAATCTATAGACAAAAAATGAAGGAACTATACACAACTGATGGTTTGCCGAACCGGAGTCGATTGGACACCGGTTATTTCTTCAGTTGTCCTGTGGGATTATGACCCCTTTCTTAACTTGTAACCCAATCACATCATCATACCGAATCATACTCCCGCAGGGCCCATGCCGTTGCCATTTTTCACACCACGTTGAGGCACGTAAAAAGCAACAGGGGCGGTGGTTCACAATCCAGCGCCAGGTGATGTTGATGCGCGGTGGCCAAAATGGTGCCCGATGATGCGGTTCCCGCGTCAGGAAGTGCATCGTGTGCTTCTGCATCATCCCTTCCTCGGCATCGGCCGGTTGGCCCTGCTGGCCCTGCTGGCCCTTCTGGCCCTGCTGGTTGGTAGTCTCGACCCATCACCACGAATATATCATGATCATTGGACCAGGTAGGAATGGAGAAATGGAAGCTGATTGTTTCCATTGGCCAAATGTGTTCAGTGCACGTATGCGTATTGTCTATGTATGTCACATATGCGTACTGTCTGTCTGTAAATTTAAAAATGAATATATATATATGTGTGTGTGCGTGTGTAGATGCACATATGTACAAAAATATGCATGTTGTGTATGATGATATATATGCATGTTGTGTATGATGATATATATATATGCATGTATGTATGTATGTATGTATGTATGTATGTCTGTATGTGTGTATGTGTGTATGTGTGTATGTGTGTGTATGTATGTATGGATGCATGCATGCATGCATGCATGCATGCATGCATGTATGCATGTATGCATGTATGCATGTATGCATGTATGCATGCATGCATACATGTATGCATGTATGCATGTATGCATGCATGCATACATGCATACATGCATACATGCATGTATACATGCATGTATAAATGCATGCATGCGTGCATGCATGTATGCATGTATGCATGTATGCATGTATGCATGTATGCATGTATGCATGTAAGGATGTAAGGATGTAAGGATGGAAGGATGGAAGGATGTAAGGATGTAAGGATGTAAGTATGTAAGTTTGTATGTAATTATGTAAGTATGTAAGTATGTAAGTATGTATGTATGTATGTATTTATGTATGTATGTATGTATGCTTGTCTGTGTGTGTATCTATCTATCTACCTACCTACCTATCTATGTATGTATGTGTGTATGTATGTGTATTATACATGTATCTTTGATATATATATATATATGTAACTGTATATGTATGCGTGTGTATATATATGTGTGTGTATGTATGTAATTAAGTAAGTAAGTATGTATGTATGCATGTATGTATGCATGTATGCATGTATGCATGTATGCATGTATGCATGTATGCATGTATGCATGTTTGCATGTATGCATGTATGCATGTGTGCATGTGTGCATGTATGCGTGTATGCGTGTAAGGATGTCAGGATGTCAGGATGTAAGGATGTAAGGATGTAAGGATGTAAGTGTGTAAGTGTGTAAGTGTGTAAGTATGTAAGTATGTAAGTATGTATGTATGTAAGTAAGTAAGTAAGTAATCAAGTAAGTAGGCAAGTAGGCAAGTAAGCAAGTAAGCAAGTATGTACGTACGTACGTACGTATGTATGTATGGTATGTATGTTATGTATGTTATGTATGTTATGTATGTTATGTATGTTATGTATGTTATGTATGTCTGTGTGTGTGTATGTATATGTGTATGTGTATATGTATATGTATTTGTGTGATATATGTATATATTTAAATCTGTGTGTATGTAAATATACATATATACAAACATATTTATTTATCTACGCATGTATATATATATACATATGTGTGTGTGTGTTTGTGTGTGTGTGTGTTTTTTGGTATGTGTATATGTATATATATATACAGATACACGTATGTATGTCTATGTGTGTGTATGTAATGTATGTACATGCATATGTATATAAATATGTATATGTAAACGTATCCATATATATATATTAATATATATATATGCATACGTTTACATATACATTTATATATATAAGTATGTGTATGTATATGTGTGTACATCCATGCGTAGATACAAATACCGATATAGGTAAAGATATGGACGTAGATACGATAAAGAAAGAGAGAGAGGCTAAGTCCAGTTCCATGCTCAGGACATCCCCATCTTGAAGGTCCACTTCAACCACGGTCTCCTGGCTTGGGCATTCTCGCGATAGGATTTGGCACTGGACCACGTGATGCACAAACTGTGGCCCTATACCTATTAGAAAAATACTTGCAGCATAATTACAAATGGAAATTACACACGAAGGACATGATTTTGTTTTAAAAAAACAAATGAATCGACGCATTTGTAATGTAGATGGATATGCTCCTTTAAGGGCAAATAGAAAGTTCATGTTTGCGTGTTGCGTGCACTTCAAAGGATGGTTCTATTCTGTTCTGTGGTAACCATTTACTTTTCCACTCACCTGAAATCGTTGTACTTGTAGCGTATTCTTCTCGTTGATGTCACCTTGCTACATGATCTTGAAACTCTTGGTCTCAACATCTCAACCTTTACTAGAAACCTCTAGAATCTAGAAAGCTTCTGCAACCTTTCTGCTTGGAGCCGTTAATGTGGAATGTGTCCAAACTTCCTGGAATTTGGGACAGCTTTGAACCTCATGTAGTCCAGCACAAAGATCACAAATATCTGCTTTGAGGGGGACAACTGGACAACATCCAAAATCTTTTGGAGTCTTGACCTGCAAGCTTGCACCGAAACCTTTCATAGAAACTCTTGGAACCTGTTTCACTTTGTTTGCAAATAGTCACATTCCGGAACGTAGCCGAGACCAAAATCCAAGCCAATCTGCAACCGTTGCGAGGTTCAGAACCTCATCATGAAGCCATCCCGGTGCCCACCGGTGCGGCTGTTTGGAAGTCCTTAATGGGCTCGGCCTCGTCATCTTTCAAAGCGATCCTGCAGGGTCTCTCTGGGTCAGCTGGCACAGCTGTGAACGATCCCATCCCATTACACTGGTTGGTTGATAATTGTATTCCTACTATGAGTGCTAAAATCCCTATTAGCTACGGGTTACAAAATCCCAATAAAAACCAGAGATATAGGACCAACCAACATGGCCCATACTATGCTCATATTTCATATTTCATATGTGGTATCATGGCGATTGACCCCACCCCCCTCCCCGCATCGCTGTCCAGAATTCACGCCGACCACCCAGTGAGAGCGAGACAATGGAGCAGTCCTGCTGCTTGGAGCTGATGTAGCTTGGTGTTTTCACTGCTGAAAAATCCCAAGTTCAGAAGATACCCCAGTTGTTTCTTGATCGGATTTTGTTCCTCTTGGCTCCTGGCACTTTCCTCCAAACAAGCTCTCGTCGTCTGCGTGCCATCCAACGGACTGCAGGCCATCTGCGTAGTAGTTCAAATTTGCGGAGTTGGGCCACAAGTCTGGGCCTGATAAGGCTGGAAAACTCTGGAAAAACACGCAAAGAATGGGCTAGCTGCCAAATATTTATCCTGAAAGAAGTCTACCACTGACTGTGGATTTGGGGAGTTGACCACCAACATCCAAGGCATCTAAGTCCGCGGCTCAGGCCGGGCGCCAGCGACGAGAAAACCAGGGCGGTGAGATCTTCCATGGTCTTTTTGAACTGACTGCAGATGCTTCGGGTGAGGCCCACCCTTGCATTTCCATAGGTGTACCCGCAGCTGCAGCCATTCCGCACATACCAACAGGTCGACCGAACCACATTTCCATGTCTGCCTTGGCCAAGAAGAAGTGGACTTGAGTCATAACGGTTACATAACGTGAAGATGCAGCCTGATCCTGCTTCTGTGTGGAAGAAACATCTTCAGAAACTGGAGCAAAGCAACACTTTGACTTTAGTCATATGTAGATGCACGTAATATATATATAATCTAATATATATATATATGTTAAATACATAAATAAATATACGTATATACGCAACTGTTCGCAAAAAAGTCTAGTTGAGATAAGGCACCCCTGAGTTGGTCCCAAGGCGCTGAGGCCTGCAAGTCCTGAAAGAACCTTGAGGCCAATCCAAACCGCTTGGGAATATATCTATATAAATATGTGTAGTGTATATCACATATTATATATATATGTAAAATGTGTATATATATATAATTATATATGTGTGTGTGATTTTATATGTATATTTTATAGCGTATATCAAAATGTACATGAGTGGGTTCTGGTGGGCACCAGTCTTTAAACATGGTACTGTACCAAGAGCAGATCTGGCAGTGCAGTGTGCCACCCAGGAGCCTCTTTGCAGAGACCTGGTCCAAAAGGCTCGGCCAGCGAAATGCGAAGCAGCGGCGACTCTCGTCCCAGATGATGGTTTCCTCTGAAGAACTCTATGGGGTGCATGATCCCATTAAGGGGAACACCCTGGATGACACCTGGTTAGATTTAAGGATTGGGTTAGCCCCAAAAAGTGATCGGCTGCAAATGCTACCTCCCAATTAATCAACCTAAAGACTTATTCATCCCTTCCGGCTGCTCTGCCATCATTGTCTTTTGATCAAAATCCAATGACTCCAAGACGTGGATCTAAGATTGGCAAATCCGGGTTTTCCTACAGGATTTAGTGGCTGTCACAGGCATGGTGGCATTCACCGCTAAGCTTGGCGCCTTGTCCTTGGCATTTCCACCTCAGCCGCTCCAACAATGCCCATCAAAACCCCATCGTTGCAAGAGTATTGAGCAAACATACACAAGCGTTCATAGGATTCATAAATTCATAACCACTATGCAATACATGAATATACATTTCCACAAAATTGGTGCAGATATAATCAAAGGACCGGATAACCCCACAAGTCAACTTCTTCCAATAATGAGCAACAAATGTTGTAGCGGGGACGGGGAAGGAAGGAAAGACAAAGGAGGCGGTGGAGGATCGAGAAGTAAAAAAGTTGTGTGTGAAGAGTTGTGTGTGACAAAGCTGTATGTGAAAGATGGTGTTGCAAAGAAAGATGGTGCGTGTGACAGTTGTGTGCGAAAAAGAGGTTGTGACAAAGTTGTGTGAAAAATGCGCAAAAGAAAGCTCAGCGTACTGTCTTGAGACTAACAAGACCCAGCCCCACCCTTTTGCACGAAGCAAATGAAAGACATCACTGTGCGATGCAATCGGCCCTACAGCAAACTCCACACGCACGTGTCAATCGCAGCGACCAAAGTTCAGAAACAGTTCTTCACATGACGCGTCAAACCATTTCTTTGGGCAATGACACATTCATGAATGGTTCATTCACGAAGTACCAAATCATTCATGAAGCAATTTTGAGGTCAACGCGCGAATGTCACAAGCATTACCAAGTCCCCAATGTCACCAAAAAAATCTCAACATGACACTAGAAATGAACCGTCGCACGTTGCATCAACCCATGCTCTAAAGGGCGTAAACAGCATTGTTACAGCTTCATCTCCAAACAGAAAAGACTTGACAACACTGCACGGCCGAAGCTACTGCGCACTCCTTGCTGGCGAAGATATTTTTTCACGGCAACAAATGCTTCTTCACACATTGCGTCAAACCATTTGGTGCATCATACTCAAAGACATGTACAATCACATTTCAAGAAGAAACATATCTTGCCCTCAAGGAATCTCAGTGGCAGTCATGAGAACAGCGCCGCTTTCATCGCGTGTGACATCCAGCAGGTGCCTGGCAGCAATGCGAGCGACATGCAAAGAAAGTGGTCTACCAAAACATGGACAAAACACCGAACAACTCTGACAGCAAAGAAGGTGGTCTACCAAAAACTTCCGTCCGGGGGGTTATTCGGACCTTAATTTACAGTCGAATGTGTATTTTGCATTGGCAGGGCCATGCGAATTGCAACTTCATATATGCAAGGAATTTGATCAAATTCCTTGCTCCAAGTGTCTAAAACCTGGGTGTTGGGCCATTTTGTTTTGATATATGCATGCTTTGCTTATCAATGTGTTTTCATCCAAAGGCTTCTTTGTGCAACTGTCGACCAGTAGCCTGAAACAAGTGTTTCTTCTGGACCCGCCGCCAATGCCACTGCTGCGCATCTGTCCTAATTCCAGCCATATCCCATGACATGACATAACATGTAACATCTTTATTCGGTCAACACAAACAACTTAACGTAACATGTAACATCTGTCCTAACTGCAGCCACATCACATGACGTAACATGTACTGTAACATCTTTACTCTGTCAACACAAAAGAACCTAACGTAACATGTAACATCTTTACTTGACCAACACAAAGAACTTAACGTAACATGTAACATCTGTCCTAACTCCAGCCATAGCCCATGACGTAACATGTAACATCTTTACTCGGCCAACACACAGAACTTAATGTAACATGTCACATCTGTCCTAACTACAGCCATATCTTATGACGTAACATGTAACATCTTTACTCGGCCAACACACAGAACTTAACGTAACATGTCACATCTGTCCTAACTACAGCCATATCTTATGACGTAACATGTAACATCTTTCACTCGGTCAACACAAACAACTTAACGTAACATGTAACATTTTTACCCTGTCAACTTGAGAGGGTAAAAATGTTACATGTTACGTTAGCAAACAGCGTAACGTCACATGTAACCTCTGTCCTACCTCCAGCCATATCCCAAAACGTAGCATCTAACATCTTTTCCACAAACGCATTCGTTTCTGCTTCGTGTCTACATGAAGTTTCATACGCCCCCACCCCAAGCCCCATGACGTATCACATTACATCTATGCCAACACAAAATCCATCACGTAATATGTTGCCAACTGTCAGTGCCTGACATCAACGCAGTCGTTTCTGCTCAGAGTCTACATGAATGCAGTACACCGCCCCCCACCCCATCCCACCAAACCCATAACATCAAAATATATCAAAATGGTTCGCAAGTGCATCAACCAAAAAACACGGTAAAAAAAAGTCTGGTTTTCACCCCGCTAGCAAAAACTTAAGACTTAAGCGCCTGGCTTGCACGTTGCCCGTGGGCTCCAGCATCTTGGGCCAGCGCCTGACAGCAAAGAAAAAAACACCAAAAACCGACAAGTAGTGAAGCCTTGACAAACACACTGTGCAAAACCAGCAGTGAGCAAAGCCATGCCTGTCCTACAGCCACGGGCGCGACGATCAGGAAGGATGAGAATAGTACCTAGCCGGAAAAATACAAAACATGCCAACATTGCTTCCAGAACATAAACGTGCCAGCATCGCTTCCAGCACATTTTTATCAAACATGTGCCAGCATCGCTTCCAGAACGTTTTTATCAAACATGCACAAGGCCTCTTCCCACGTTGGGCCAAAGCGAAACATGCGAAAGCATGCCAGCATCGCTTCTAGATCGTTTCGATCAAACATGCGCAAGGCCTCTTCCCACGTTGGGCCAAAGCGAAACATGCCGAAACATGCCAGCATCGCTTCTAGGTCTAGATCGTTTCGATCAAACATGCGCAAGGCCTCTCCCCACATTGGGCCAAAGCGAAACATGCCGAAACATGCCAGCATCGCTTCTAGATCGTTTCGATCAAACATGCGCAAGGCCTCTCCCCACCTTGGGCCAAAGCGAAACATGCGAAAACATGCCAACATCGCTTCCAGAACGTAAACGTGCCAGCATCGCTTCCAGAACGTTTTTATCAAACATGCACAAGGCCTCTTCCCACGTTGGGCCAAAGCAAAACATGCCAAAACATGCCAGCATCCCTTCTAGACCATTTTGCTCAAACATGCACAAGGCCTCTTCCCACGTTGGGCCAAAGCAAAACATGCCAAAACATGCCAGCATCGCTTCTAGACCGTTCTGAACCGAGTGACTGAATTACTACCCTGTGTTTCTGCTGCGGTGTGGTGTTGCCGATCTGTCATAGACAATAACTCTCACATCGTGTCGTGATATTATGTGTAGCAGTGTTTGACACTGTTTCGACTTCAGCGCTGAGCATGAGCCACGAAATTCGCAGTCTGCAAGTCTGTCAACACTATGAGTGACCAAACCGCATTCCGTCGCAAGAGCATGCAAACTCATCAACACTCAACCAAATGTGTGTGAAAGATGGTGTGTGAAAGATGGCGTGTGACAAAGTTGGGTGTGACAAAGTTGTGTGTGACAGATGGTGTGTGACAAAGCTGTGTGTGACAGATGGTGTGTGACAAAGTTGTGTGTGACAAAGTTGTGTGTGACAAATAGTCTGTGACAAAGTTGTGTGTGAAAGATGGTGTGTGACAAAGTTGTGTGTGACAGATGGTGTGTGATAAAGTTGTGTGTGACAAAGTTGTGTGTGACAAAATGGTGTGTGACAAATAGTCTGTGACAAAATTGTGTGTGTGTGTGACAAATGATGTGTGACAAACAGTCTGTGACAAAGCTATGTGTGAAAGATGGTGTGTGACAAAGTTGTGTGTGACAGATGGTGTGTGACAAAGTTCTGTGTGACAAAGCTGGCGGTGAAAGATGGTGTGTGACAAAGTTAGGTCAATGCCGCAAGTGCCACGCCTGCCACGCATGTCACCAAGTGCCACACCTGCCAGGCGAAGCGAAAGTCGATGTCACCAAGTGCCACACCTGCCACGCGAAGCGAAGGTCGATGTCGCCAAGTGCCACGCCTGCCACGCGAAGCGAAAGTCGATGTCGCCAAGTGTCATGCCTGCCACGCACAGTACCGCGGCATCACCGGCGACCAAGCGTGCCCAAGCGCGCCACCAAAGCCAGCCCAGTGCCGCAAGTGCCACGCTTGCCACACAAAACGAAGGTGCATGTCACCAAGCGCCACGCCTGCCACGCGAAGCGAAGGTCGATGTCGCCAAGTGCCACGCCTGCCACGCGAAGCGAAGGTCGATGTCGCCAAGTGCCACGCCTGCCACGCGAAACCAAGGTGGATGTCACCAAGTGCCACGCCTGCCACGCAAAGTACCGCGGCGTCACTGGCGACCAAGCGCGCCCAAGCGCGCGCCCAAGAGCGCCACCAAAGCAAGCCCAGTGCCGCAAGTGCCCACCTGCCACGCAAAACGAAGGTGGATGTCACCAAGCGCCACGCCTACCTCGCGAAGCGAAGGTCGATGTCGCCAAGTGCCACGCCTGCCACGCGAAGCGAAGGTCGATGTCGCCAAGTGCCACGCCTGCTACACGAAACCAAGGTGGATGTCACCAATTGCCACGCCTGACACGCAAAGTACCGCGGCGTCACCGGCGACCAAGCGCGCCCAAGGGCGCCACCAAAGCCAAACCAGTGCCGCAAGTGCCACGCCTGCCACGCAAAACGAAGCCCAGTGCCACGCTTGCCACACGAAGCGAAGGTCGATGTCGCCAAGTGCCACGCCTGCCACGCAAACGCCACGTCTGCCAAGTTGTGTGTGACAAAGTTGTGTGAGTGAGATGGTGTGAGATGGTGTGTGACAAAGTTGGGTGCGAGAGATGGTATGTGAAAGATGGTGTGTGACAAAGCTGTGTGAGCGAGATGGTGTGTGAAAGATGGTGTGTGACAAAGTTGTGTGAGTGAGATGGTGTGAGAAAGATGGTGTGTGACAAAGTTGTGTGAGTGAGATGGTGTGTGACAAAGTGTATGAAAGATGGTGTGTGACAAAGTTGTGTGAGTGAGCTGGTGTGAGAAAGATGGTGTGTGACAAAGTTGTGTGAGTGAGATGGTGTGTGAAAGATGGTGTGTGACAAGGTGTGTGAAAGATCGTGTGTGACAGAGTTGTGTAAGTGAGATGGTGTGAGAAAGATGGTGTGTGACAAAGCTGTGTGAGTGAGATGGCGTGTGAAAGATGGTGTGTGACAAAGTTCTGTGTGACAAAGCTGGCGGTGAAAGATGGTGTGTGACAAAGTTGTGTGAGTGAGATGGTGTGTGAAAGATGGTGTGTGACAAAGTTGTGTGGGTGAGATGGTGCGTGACAAAGTTGTGTGAGTGAGACAGAGGGGCGGCGGAGGAGGAGGCGGAGGCGGAGGAGGAGGCGGCGGGATACAGAATCAAAAACAAGAACCCCGCACAAAGACCTGGGGAAATATGAATAAATAAATGAATGAATGAAAAATTAACGAATATACAAAAGAAAATTAATGAATATACAAAAGAAAATCGAACTATATATATACCGTTATATCATCATCATCTTCTTCTTCTTCGTCATCATCATCGTCGTCATCGCCATCGTCATCGTCATCGTCATCGTCCTCCTCCTCCTCCTCATCATCATCATCATCATCAATGCAAGTAACGCCATCATAAACCCACCACCTATTTTTGATGGTTGATCCCACCCATGAAAATCGCCCGGTGGCCGCCGTTCGCTCCAAGCAGAAACAGCGGCTCCGACTCCAGCGCTGCTTCGGGAGCGTGAAGCGGCTCCCAAGCCATGGCACGGAGGCAGCATGGATTGCTGATTAATGTGGTGCCAAACTGGTGAATTTACCAACAAACATCATGATATAATGGGGATATATGTTGAGTCATGGGATATAAGTTAAGGGGATACATATACATATATATATATATAATTATATATACTTATATAACTAGCAATATATGGTGCCCATTGGTCATCAAAAATGATCGTTGGATGGGAAACCCATCAAGAAGAATGCTTTGAAATATTTTGAAGTCGGAATATCATCGAATTAAATGGTGGTTTGTGCATTGTCATGGTTGATTACTAAAGAAAGGGCCATGTGTTATTTGATCAAGACCTGTTGACAAAACATCATGTCATGACATCCTGGACATGCAGGTGAACCTATTGACACCCCTTCATCTTGGGCCGAATGACACTGATTACCAATGGCCAACCAAAGACTACACACTACGGAATGAAATAGAAAATCTGGTTCCCGGCCGATGGTGTTACCCACCACCTTTGCGCACCCCCACACGGTCAGGAGGACTTAGAGATGACCAGAGGATGCTCTCTCATGATGCATCTCCTGCGATGGGAAGGTAAAGCCACTGCGCACAAACTGATGCAAGACTCCCTGAGGCGTTTTTGGCTGACATTCTTCCTGCTTCCATCTGAGCATTCTGAGTAGCAAATCGCTCAGGTCAGGCACAGCTGAGAACAAAACTCTGACACTCGGGGCCTGAGCTCCTTGGGTACATGATTTCATGTGACTTCATAGTTTCTTGGTTTCCAACCGCCCTGGCAGGTGAAACGAGAATTCTAGAACGCCTTCAGCGCTAAGAATCTAAAGAAAATTGATACTGCATCTTCCCGCTGCGTGGCGGAAGTTTCGAAGAGCCAAAAACCATCGGATATAGAATATCATATGTGCGCGCATAATGTGTATATATATATATATGTGTGTGTGTGTATTTGTATATATATATATATATATGTATCCCGCCTCCCATGGTGCTGTATGTCCCCACCTTTCCTCTCCAAACCTCCACTTGGGGCGCTATTTGCAGCAGTTGTTATTGCGTTGTTATTTGCAGCATTTGGCTCCCATTTGCAGCATTTGGCTCCCATTCGCATGCTATTTGCAGCATGTTGGGAGCCGCAGCCGCATTTGCAGCATTTCCGACCCACAGCCTCCCAGTAAGACCTACTACCTATACTCTAAACCAATCTACCTCTCTACTACCTACAAAACTACCGCTCTTCTACCGTTCTTTGTGCAGTGACTTCGTATATATGACTACATACTACCTATGCACTACTACTTATAGACTATTGACTGCCTATATACTACATATCATCTACATACCAGTAGTACCGCACAAGGCGGTGGCGGAAGTTGCAAAAACAGGAAACCTCCTATCGGAGAGGTTGGCTGTTGTGAATCACGGATGGCAGAGCGAATCCACTGATGGACCGACAGGTGGTTGGGGCTGTGTTTTTTTCGAATTGTTGAGATGGTTGCAGTGGTCACCTTACCGCAACTGCTGGATGTAGCATGGTGTAGCGCAGCTGTAGTTGCAGTTGTAGCTGTAGTTGTAGCGTAGCGTAGTGGAGCTGTAGCTGTAATGTAGTGTAATTAATTTATTGGCAAGCGCAGTTGCAGTTGTAGCCGTGGTGTGATGTAATTAGTGTAGTGTAGTGCAGTGTAATGTCGTGTAGTGTTCTGGATGTGTTGTGTGGTATAGTGTAGTGTAGTCTAGTGTAAGGTAGTGTAGTTGTAGTTGTAGCGTAGTGCAGTGTAATTAGTGCAGTGTCGTGTCGTGTCGTGTAGTGTGGTGTAGTACGTTTAGTGTGTATAATGTAATGTAACGTAACGCAACGTAACGTAACGTAATGTAATGTAATGTAGTGGTAGTTGTAGTTGTACTTGTAGTGGCAGTTGCAGCTGCAACTGTAGTTGTACCGTAATGTAATGTAATCAGTGTAGCGTAGTGTTGTGTAGCGTAGTGCGGTTGTAGCTGTAGTTGCATTTGTACTTGTAGCGTGCTGCAGTGAAATTAGTGTAGCGTAGTGTAGTTGTAATTGTAGTTGTAGTTGTGGTAGTAGCTGTTGTTGCAGTTGTTAGTGTAATTCGTGTAGTGTAGTAAATTAGATGTAATTAGCGTAGTGTAGTGTAATTAGTGTAGTGCAATGTAGAATAGTATATTTGTGTTTGTAGCTGTAGCTGTAGCAGTACAGTAGTGTAGTGTAGTGTAGTGTAGTGCAGTGGCAGTTGCAGTTGCAGTTGCAGTTGCAGTTGTAGTTGTAGTTGTAGTTGTAATTGTCTGTCTGTCTATCTACCTATCTATCTAATCAATCTAATCAATCTAATCAATCTAATCAATCTAATCAATCTAATCAATCTAATCAATCTAATCAATCTAATCAATCTAACCCATCTAATCAATCTAATCAGTCTGAACAATCTAATCAATCTAATCAATCATATCTATCTAATCTATTCTATCTAATCTATCTAATCTATCTAATCTATCTAATCTATTCTATCTAATCTATTCTATCTAATCTATCCAATCTATTCTATCTAATCTATCTAATCTATCTAATCTATCTAATCTACCTAGTCTATCTAATCTATCTAATCTATTCTAATCTATCTAATCTATTCTATCTAATCTATTCTATCTAATCAATTCTATCTAATCTATCCCATCTATTCTATCTAATCTATCTAATCTATCTCATCTATCTCATCTAATCTATCTGATATATTCTGTCTAATCTATTCTATCTAATCTATTCTATCTAATCTATATAATCTATCTAATCTATCTAGTCTATCTAATCTACCTAATCTATCTAATCTTTCTAATCTATCTAATCTACCTAATCTATCTAATCTATCTAATCTATCTAATCTATCTAATCTATTCTATCTAATCTATCTAATCTATTCTATCTAATCTATCTAATCTATTCTATCTAATCTATCTAATCTATTCCATCTAATCTATCTAATCTATTCTATCTAATCTATCTAATCTATCTAATCTATCTAATCTATCTAATCTATCTAATCTATCTAATCTATCTAATCTATCTATCTATCCATCCATCCATCCATCAATCCATCCATCCATCTATCTAATCTAACTAATCTATCTATCTATCTATCTATCTACCTATCTACCTATCTACCTATCTACCTATCTACCTATCTGCCTATCTACCTATCTACCTATCTATCTATCTATCTATCTATCTGTTTGTCTGCCTGCAAGCTTGAAAACGCAGCAATTCTGCGAGACTTCCTCAATTTTTAAACTTGACAACATCCAAAACGAAGCAATCCTGCAAGACTTCCTCAATTTTGGAACTTGACACCATCCAAAACGAAGCATTTCTGCCAGACTTCCTTCAAATATGGAAAGTTGCGTGCAGCGCTGACGGCCTCGTACCAATGCGTCTTGCGATTTTTCCAATCCACCTGTCTAAAGTACTGTGCCTGCCAGGAAAAAGTGATGCCAGGTCATACGAAGCACTGCGCCTGCCACGGAAAATGCACCTTTGCAGATCCTCTTCAAATGTCCCACGCCTGCCATCGTTTTGGAAATGCTACAAAACGTTCACGTTTTGCTTTGACAAGGTCACAATCCCTTGCGCCTGCCACGCAAAACGACGCTTCAACGTCCAAGAGTGGCGCGTACATGTGGTGCTTTGTAGATTTTGACTTGGAAATGTGCTTTGCGCCACATCCGCGTGCACTTTTTCGATATCTCAGCTTCCAAAAGTGGTCCGAACATGAGGTGCTTTGTACATTTTGACTTCGAAATGTGCTTCGCGCCACAACGGTGTGCACCTTTTCAACGTCTCAACTTCAAAAAGTTGTGCGAACCTGGTGTGCCACATTTTGACTGGGAATGGTGCTTCGCGCCACAACTGCGTGCACTTTTTCGACTTCTCAACTTCTAAAAGTGCTCCGAAGCTGAGGTGCTTTGTGATTTTGACTTGGACATGTGCTTGGCGCCACAACGGCGTGCAATTTTTCATCTCTCATCTGGCCAGCTGGCTCCGCACCCGCCGCTTTAGCGAGCCTACTTTTCAACCCTCCGGAGCCACAAATGATTGGAAAAACAGTGTTTCGCGACTTTCCTACCTTTTCGCGCACCTGGATCTTCTTTCTTCGGAGGCTCTCTTTTTGATCTTCTTTCTTCTTTTCTTCTCTTCTCTTCTCTTCTCTTCTCTGCTCTGCTCTGCTCTGCTCTGCTCTTCTCTTCTCTTCTCTTCTCTGACTCTTCTCATCTCTGCTTTTCATCTGTCACATTGTCGGAAGTTTGCCTTCTAAACTTCCTTCGATCAGACACGGACATCACATTCCCTACAACACAGTGTGTGCGCCAGGTGGGTTCAGAAGCGGTCAGACGCTGCAACGCTGCGACGCTGCGAGACGGCTTTCGCGTCTTCGCGGTGTCTCAGCGCTGCGACGCTGCGAGATGGCTTGTGGACGGTTTCGTGTCTTCGCGACTTCGCGACGGTGCGACGCTGCCACGCCGCTGATTGCCGCTGGGGGCACGTCTTCGCGACACTGCGACGCTGCGACGCTGCCACGTCGCTGGGGTCCCCTCGCGTCTTCACGTCTTTGCGACGCTGCGACGCCTCTGGGGTGCTCCTGGCATCTTCGCGTCTTCGCGACGCTGCGAAGCTGCGATGCCGCCGGGGGGGCTCGTCGCCTCTTCGCATCTTCACGACGCTGCGACGCTGCCGATGGCGAGCTCCTCGCGTCTTCGCGTCATCCGATCTGGCTGCGGGCGGTCGCTCGCTTCTTCGCAGTGGCGCGATGCTGCGTAGACGCGAGCGACGCTGCGACGCTGCAACCCTGGGGTGGGTGGTGGGTGGGCCTGCATGCGGTCGTTACAAGTATGTATTGGCTTAAACGGTGGGGCCTTGATCAAATATTTATTTTCGCTAATAAACAATAATAAACCCCTAGGCGTCCAAGACTGAGTTATACTTCGTCTTTCACCCAACGACTCAGTTTAACCCATC